TCAATATCCTATTAGCTTCTGGACAACTTTAGACAAACCTTTCTCTGAGCCTTGGTTTTCTACATCTCTGAAATACGGACAAAAATACCAACCTTATAGAATTAGGATACACCTGAATGAACTGAACTGATCTATGTGAAATGCCTGGCGAATGGCCGAGAAGTAATAAACAGAGCCTGGTTCTAAAATCTGGAGTTATTTTTGCTCCCACCTCCCCACCAGCTAATCTCTGTTATCCAGGCAGTTCCGAAAGCCCACCTCTTTAACCTGTCTAGTTTTCTCCATTCCAGTCGTCCCCCCTCATCTGGGCCCTCTTCCCCTCTGGCCTGGACTGTATCTCAGCAGCTCACATGCCTTCCGCTTGGATTCTCTCACTGGCCAACCACCCCCCACAGTGACATCAGACAAGGCTTCCTCCAGGAGAGATCCCACTGTCACTCTCCTGACCGGGACACTTCCACTGCTCCCCGATGGCTCAGGATCAAGTTTAAAGCATTTAGTTGTTGGACACACATGGTCCACCCGGATCTGGCCTCAAGGGACCTTGGCGGCCTTATCCTCTCATTAGTCACTTTTGCACACATGGTTGCCCAGCAACAACGAATCAGTTACTGCCTGCTCGGTACACTGGAATTTCCCATCCCGCTCTAGGCCTTTGCCTGGCTTTCCCTGGACTGGAACATGCTCCCTGAGTCTTCTTTCAATGTCCAGCTCAAATACTCCTTAATCCATAAATGATTTCGTGATCATCCTGGTCACAGACAAGCTTTCTTTTCTGCAAACACGTGGTATGTTTAGTTAGCTCTCTGTATTAATACATTCATCTCTTGCTCTGCATTCGTTCCGTCACCTGTGCACGGAATCTTACTCCAAGTTCTACAAGGATAGCATCGTGGCCACGCCCACACTGCCACGCTCAGAAAAAACACCCAGGAAATGGTGGCTGTACGGACAACCCTACAGAGTCCTTCTGAGTAGCACCAGCATCCAGGGTCTATAGCTAATCAGCTCAGCTTCTGATCAGCTCCTAGAACTGTACCTGGCATTGAGGGACACTCCACAAGTAACTGTTAAATGAACTTATCCACAGGAAGATCTACTATTGGCTACAGGACAGAAATTCTGTCTCTAGGGCAGGAAACATGAGAGAGGACATGAAGAAGCCTTTTCTTTTCCAAGTTATACTTAGAGGTGCCGTAAGTTTCATGTCTCCCACAAGCTATACAGCTAATCTCAGCAATAACCATGGCACGTCATGCTTTGGTATCTTGAGTATTTCAGAAGTACCTGATTTTAATATGTAAATAAAAACCATTCTTCAAAATAGTCTCCTTTGGAGAATGACAGAAGTATTCTCACAATGTCCAAAAAAAATTTTAGACCTCCCCCCTTTTATATAGCCACAATTTCTTCTGGTGAAAAAGAAGTATGTTTATTACAGAACGAAACACCTTTTCTCAAAAGGCTTTCAAACGGCTGAGAATTTACTGCAGAAATGAATTCCAAGCTCCTCATCCTTAAAATAGAAAAGGTCCCCCCTCCCCCCAGCTCCCAGGGCTTTCATTTCCCAAATGCTATTATGTAATGCCCTTTATAAATCACGTGTACAACTCTCATTTTTCCAGCAAGTTTGATTTTAACCCCATCTCTGGGCCCTCGCAACACCACGTGTGCCTCTGTCACAGTCCTTGTCGGTATGTAGCGTTACCTCCTTAGACATCATTCACCCCACTGAGCTGTGTCTTCCTGGAGGGCCAGGTCCATGGCACATCCATTTCTGAATCTACAGTCCTCATGGCTGGAATGTAGTAGGTGCCTCCGTAAACGTTTACATGAACCAATGACACCAGTCAGTTATGTGATCATAAGTCTGTTCATCAGACCTGATTACTGTCTCCTTCCTGTCCTCAAAGGACAGAGAATTTCTACCACAGTGGGCAATAAAAAAGGATGGAAGGCTCTCAAGGCACCAGCAAACGGCAAGTTCTACGTGTGTCTCTGGCAAAGACGACATGACATGGCTGCAGTTAAGTAGCGGCTTAACTTCTTCCTAGCTGACTCGGTACTTAAGGAGGCAACATTCATTTGCATGTCTGTGTGTCTTTTGCTACGTGCGTTAAAATATTAATTGCGTTACTCTGAAGGAACGCTTTCTAGATGCGATTCATTTAAATTGTTTACTTAGATCCCCTGAAGTAAATACAAGATGAGTAAAACCAAATTAGTTTTAAATCACACCTTAGAGACGACAGTTAGTGAAGTACCTTGTTGGGGATCTAAAATTGTTACATAAAAAAGATGAAAAGACCTGCCTATTCGGCACTGTGCACCCGTCAGTGCCTGGGAAACGATCTACTTTTCATGATCATCCAATCATGCAGACTGACGTCATTGTCTCCAGAACCTACATGCTGCTCTTCCCAGATTGAACAACATAAGCACATCGACGAGGAAGCTCATTATAAGTTGATGACAAATTGGAAAAAAAAACCTTTAAATATAATTACAGACATGACTCTCACATTTGGGCTTTCCAAACATGGAGGGCTTAAGAGACACCACAGTTCCTTGTCACAGAAAGTTCCAAAACCCAGTATATTCTGGAAAGTCCAAATCTACTGCCTGGGTAGCTCAACAGTGTGTGTCAGGACTGAATCTTTTTAAATGACGGTTGACACTTTGCTCAAGTACATAAGAACAGAAAAGAGAAACCACCGCAGATTTTAGAAATTTTCAGTGATAATAAAGTTTTCATCGAAGACAAAATTTTATTTCGTATTCTCTTAAATGTTTCTGAAAGCAGCAGAGATTTCTTCCAGGTGGAAACTGAGGCAAGAAAGCTCAATCATTTAGTTAGAGCACCCTACATTTCAAAAACAATTAAAAGCCATGACCCCAAACCAAATTCTCCAATAATCTATTCTCATGAGAAAGGGGCTAAAAGGCTTATTGCCTAACTAAAGGATAAGTACCCTGAATTATTTCAATGATTGGCCCAGGAAGCCTCAGCACAGCGCTCAGTAACACGGACACGTGTTAACACCCCTGTGCACAACCTCCCTTGTGATGACGCGTGCGTATCACAGTCAACAGGTAGCCCTGGTTTTGTTCAGAACGGTATTTCTGTACATCCCCACCGCACAGTTACGATGCTGCCATCTTCTGATTATGCCCAGTGAAGTGTAAACAATTTTTTCACACAAAAAGCAAAATCAGTAAAACTAAAAATCCCTACTTTTCTGCCAGTAGTGCCCTCAGTTAACAGGAGCAAAGACACGAACATAGAAATTACAACACTCCCAGACATAATTCAAGCAGAATTCTAAATGGATAAGCACACATTATAAACTTTTTTTTTTTTTTTTTTTTTTTTTGCAAGTGCCTTGCATGCTTATGTTACTATTCAGTCTGAGATAGACAGATCATCAATGACCTTCTGGGTCACTGACTAGGGAGAAAGAGGACTGTAAAAAAGAGTGGGAGAAAAAATAAAGGGGGGCGGCTTCCTTCCACCCCAGGCCCCCTACTGCCCTGAATGAAAGCAGACAGATGGCAGGCACCTTCCCCTTTAATTAGGAGGGCAGCTCAGAAGCGGACAGCCCAGCTCATGTGGCACCATCTCTAACAAACCGTTCCGAGGGGAATGCTCTGCTCATTCACCCTGGCTTCAAACTGTTCTGGATCTTTAATTGACAAACCAAATCTCGGTAGGTTTAATTGTGACAAACTGCAGCTCTGAGTACAGTACTCTGCAAAAAGGTGTTTAAAGGAAGTTTGCTGAATAATCCACAGACATTCATAAAAGGAGCCTGGAGGGTTTTAAATGAAAAACGGACACCCCAGGTCCTACCACCACCACGTTGAGATAAAACGTGAATTCCCACGGCACAGAAGCCCTAACTTAAATTCACTCAGTACTCCATATGAGATTTAGAAGGAAGATTCCTGATTTCTGCTCTTCCAATGCCACTCCGTAGTTACAATGCCTCCTTCTACCTTTAAAGTGTTACCGTTGGGAGTTGAGAAAAGTCCAGAAAACTCTACGGTAAAAACAGTCCATTTTATGAGGAGGGATAATCTAATTACAAATCATAAACTACTCTGCATTTCCATTTGTTTTGCATTTTCAAAACCATACAGCTTTGTATTAATTTACTGAGCCATGCCACAGCTCTGGAGCTAGGATCAGATAAAACACAAACAAACACAAATGGAAGACAGGGGTCAAGTGTCAGAAATTAGGCTGGTGTCCCAAAATCTGCACAGGTGGTGATGCCTCTTATTTTCTGAAAGCCACACATCTTCTATAAACCTACAAAACATGAATCTTTCTAACTTGAAGGAAAACATCACTTTCCTCGACAAGTTTAGGTCTTTATACATTTTATCCCATTCTTACAAAAAGTCTGTTTGTTTGTGGGGTTTTTTTTTCCCCCAACATCACTAAATAATTCGTATTCTTCAGCTCCTTCCCATTTCCCAACAGGTTTTTAAGTTACGACCTCTTGTTCAGGCACCACTCCCAGCCAGTGTCTGCCGTTCCCACAGGGGGGACACTCTATTTTCACATAAGTCTCGTACAGGCACCCTTTCTGCTTCCCAATGGAAATAAGGACGGTGAACTGGGGCTCTTTTGCTAGATATGCTGCTGGCTGCACCACGTAAAAAAAGTTTTGCCTGTGTCACTGTCCTTTAATTAACAGCAAGGTTCTTGGATTGTTTAAAAAAGAAGAAGAAGAAAAAAAAAAGAACTTTGTGTTTTCTCATTGATAATAAATTTCAGTCTCATACGATCTCCAACAAGGAAGCCAGCAAGCTAGATATAGGAAGAGAGACAGAAAAGATTAAAGAAGCAAGTAGCTATGCAACAAACTTCATATCCTACTTCCCAATGAGGGGGGAAAAACTTGGCGTTTGCCGGATATGGAGTGTCTAATACAATGTTAGCAAGAGAAAACATGTAGCAGCGACTGACTAACAAAGAAACAAACAAAACTTACTTTGTTTTCCAGCACAGTAAGCAGGTCGGGAGTGAGATGAGGGTAATTCCTTCCTCGAGGCCCCTGCTTTCACTTTGAGAGCTGTGTTTATGCCGACATCCAGATTTGCTGTGGCACACTCCAAAACGCCTGTACTTCTCAGGATGCCCCAAGTTCACAGTTCATCTCAGAAGCCCCGAGGACCAGGAACCCCCGGGACAGATCGCGGCGACCTCTGGGCACCACGTGGCATCACTGCTGTTGTTAACACACACACACGCCCGGGACACCCACTTGTTACCTCAGGAACCAGGCCACCGGCAGAAAACTGCGCAGAGGAGTGTCCAGAGTCCCCAGCCTCTGGTATTCTCAGGTTCAAGGTTGGAAAATGCATTAAGACGAGAACCACGCAGTCAGCAGTATTCTGTGCCATTAACTTTCTGGTACTTAAATGCCTGTCTAAAGAAGAGCAGAAGGTACAAAATTACAAGGAATATTTTACTAGTGATTGTGATTGGCGGTGGCTGCACACTGGCTCCTAGCTTGCTCTCTAAAACTCCATTTAAAAATCCTAGATCGGAGGTATTTTCATTTCCTCTGTGAAAACCATAGAAAACCGGTTTTGTTTTTTTTTTAAAAAGGGAAAAAGTATAATTTTGTTTAAAAATGTAACCCTTACTAAACCTCATCTGGTTAATTTTTTTAAAACCCACAAAGTAAAACAAACAAACAAAAAGCGTATAAATTTGGTTTGTTTTGAAAAATTACTTCATCCACGTACTGTCCAGCTCATAAAAACAAACCTTCTTCCAGCAAAACCAGGACACTTTGACCCTGTTTACTGCAGTGTTTTGAAACCACTGGCTCGTAACTCCTGACATCACTGGATGTGCATTAGCACCTTTACTGCTGTTGGGGGCACACGCTGCTGTCCCCATGGTCTTCAGTTGCCCCTGCCTGAACAAATACTCCCCAGGACAGGAAGGATACCGGCCTCAGCATTAAACCCCCAGAGCTCACATGATACCTTCTGTATTCACCTCTCTGGTCACTCTTACAAGCAAACAAAAGCACCGACCACCTGATACTTTTTAAAGTTCCAGCTTCCAGACCTGGTACGGATCATTATTTCTTCTGACCCTCCACCTGACCCTTTCTCACCAATCACCATAATGGCAAGAATTTCTGCCATGGAGCTTTACAAACAGAAGATCCCGACCTACTTTCTCCCGGTAGAAGGTTCCCACAAACTTTCCTAGAGGATCATTTATTTTAGCAGATTTTAGAGTCCCAAAGAGTATTATTACATTTTTAATTTTGACAAAGTCAGATTATTCCATTTTTTTTTCTTTTGTGGAATATGCTTTTGGTGATGTATCTGAGTGCTGCATTTTTAAAGAAATAATTTTCTCCTGTAAGTCTGACACATTCCCCCTTCCGTGTTCTTCAATCCTTATTTTAAATATATCCAAATCAAACCAAAGGATAGCTATAATCCCTGGAGCAAATCACCATTAAATTTGGGGGGACATCTCCCATAATCCACCTCTTTAAATAAAACCAAGTTCTGGTCCTATCATGGTAGTGCAATTTTACAGACGAGTAACTAAAACCCCAAGTTTAACCTTTCTGAAGTCAATCAGTGACATTCTCGTTCTTTTCCTGAAACAGCTTAACAAAACACCAAGTTCTCAAATTGTAGTCACCAAGAAATAAAGAACATGAAATACATATTTGAGCAATTACGGCCCCTGTTTGTCAGAGAGAAGTAAGAAGAAAAACATCCAGAGTTAATAAAATTAATTAACTCTAGCTAAAGAACTACTTAAAAGACTCTTCAAATGTCATGCTGTTACTATGACAACTTCAAAGCTGCTCTGAGAAAATGTGAAGGATTTTAAGATCCATGATAAAACAAGTGTCGTCCAGCCTTCTGGAAATTACTTTCATTTCTATCAGGCAGCAGCAAGACTAAATGGCCATTTACAATTCTGAAGCATCAGATCGTTACCTTCTGAGAGATGCTGTACCTTCACTCAGATCATGAAAGGAGTAATAAGTAAATGAACAGCTCTCTCAGTAATGGGAACCATTTTGATTTCAGCCCTGCAACTACACCACTCCCACGGTCTATCTAGTTGCTACATTATTTTTATAATGAAAGCAAAGTCTGATTCAATGTGGAAGGGGACGGGACACACAAAAAATCCCTAACCGTCTCTCATTTCCAAGTACAGATAGGCAGGCACACGCTCACTCTGATTTTTTAGGCGTCAATAAAGAAACAGAAGAAGAAAACATCTTTTCCTTAAAATTCCTGCTTTGGGGTATTTAGACCGATTTACATTTTACGTAATCTTGATGGCTCAATCAGGAAGTAAAAATTTTAAGTGCCTGTGTTACAGACGGGAAGGATCATGTGACCCATAGCAACGAAAATTATGCAGTAGACGAGCACATAAGAAAAATAAGCTTAAGAGGGTTTTAAAAATACTGTCTTTAGGATTCATTGAGCCATGAATATAGTATGGCTTTTGAGAAGTAATAATCTGTTTGGAAGCCTTGAAAATAAGGCCTCGGGACATTTTTAAAACTATGAGATCAAAGCAATGCACAGTGAGAAGTGAAAGTTTAATTAATAAAGGAAAGGTTTTCTGTGAAGATCATATCCATTCAAGGTTTACTTTGAAGGCTATTTTTCCATGGTATCTGAAGATCAGGCCATACAGAATTGTAATCGAACAAAACATCAGCTGCAGCTGTGTATAAACACATAAAGGATACATTAAAGAAATAATATACTTATTAATATATAGTGTTCTGTGTTCCTGGAGCACAAAGGAGAAAGCTGTTTAGATTCATCCAGTCTCCGCCCAAGTTCTACAGATTTCAAGTGGTCACTGTGTTTTAGTACAGCAAATAACATCCTCCAGAGGAAAATGCCAGTGCACTGAAATTTTCATCTGCAGCATCGAAACTAGTAAAAAGATCACCATTAGATAGAATCTGAATTACCCTCATGTGTTAAATAAGTTATGCCACACATATCAGACCACGTTCACTTGCTCTGGAAATCAAAAAGTGGGAGATGTGTGTTAAAACACATCTGACTACAATGGACCGACTGACAGATGACTCTATTATACAAGAGCTACTTAAGACATATTCTCTGTGCTACTTCTCTAAAATAAAGTATGTTAGTATAAAGATATGTGAAATTCCAAAGGTTTGGCCTGTGGTTGGTTGTTTCTCAATGCAACTTCAGTTACTGGTATGTTAATAAATGATTTATGAATACCAATAGTAAGCAATTAACATGGTTGAGAGCAGGTATTTGTATCTCATAGATACTACTTTTATCACCTTATTAATGCTTCACAGTTCTCAAAATGGTTTTCCCATTTTTATTTCAGCTTTTTAGAAAAATGTGTGTCACGGCTTCGGGCAAGTGGTAGGGCAAGGTCAGTGACAGGAATCAGTTCTGGGTACTTGATAACTAGGTCATCTTTCTTTAATTCCTAAACACAAGATGTGGCTGGGCAAAAGAAGAAATTGTTAGGAAAAACAGATGTCTTTCAGCAGGGAAGCTTGAGGTAGATCAAGGAAAAGTTAGGAAAGGTAAAAAGCACAAATTCTCCAAGGTAGAGTACTAAATGACATTGTTAAATGATCCTAATCTCCGGTATCACACTGGTTGGCTGAATTAAGGAAGGATGAATTAGTTCTCAAGAAAGATCCCCCAACAGATTCACAGCACGATCTAGCTCTGCCACTTGCCTAGACCATAATTTACGGAGAAGACACCTCAGAGAACATACATCTCAGCTCTGTAATTCTGTAAGTCAGGAAATTAGAGAAGTTCAGAGACTTTCCTAGGTTGCACCGTTGACTGACAGCTGCAACAGGACCCAAGCTTTCTGGCTTTCCTAGGTTAGGGCTCTTCTTCACCACGTGCTGCCTTCCATCTACAGTCGGAGGTTCAGGTAAAGTCTCCAACGAGCACAGTCCTGGTTGCTTATGGTAGTTGTGAATAACTGAAGCAGGGTCAAGACTGAGAGGGGCTCACCCTGGGCCACTCAGTCCCTAACTTACGGGCCCCTGACCCTTGTCACTGTTATCTCGGTCCTCCGGCAGTGTGTGTGGAGTACCTTCGTGAGCTGGACAGAGACAGGGCAAGTCTTGGACTGGGCGTAGAGCTCTGAGAGCTGGTCCCAGGCCCTCTTCCTGGCTCCTCCCTTCACAGGTATACATCAGAGCCTCCTCCTCTTGTCCAGTGGGAAGATCAAGACACTAAAGTAAGAAAAAGCACATGTTTTGGTGCACGTTGCAGCTTCGCTGGGATTTTGGGACACACATGGGAGTAAGAGGATATTCTAGAACAACTAATATGAGCTCCTACTTTACAACCTTCACCAAAAGTAATTCTGTGGGGATTAAAGAGTTAAATGTAGGAAGGGGGAACAGAATACAATTAGGAGACATTTCTGAATCAGAGATAGGAAAAGAAGTAACGAAAAAAGTAACAAAAGGCAATATAATGGGAAATCAATCTGACTACATTAAAATGTTTATGTAAACACATTTATGTGAACATGTATGACCTGTAAGTCCAAAAGCAACTGAAGTGAAAGGTAAAGAAAAAAAACAAAATACTTGCAACAGGGCAATAAACCTCATATCATTTATAAATGTATAAGGTAAAAGTTATTAACAGACAATTCACTCCAAAATATAAATGGCCAATTAACATGAAACAGAGTTGGATTTCACTAGCAACCAACCACCAAATTCACAAAGATGGACAACATTCCAATTTTAGTATATGTGCTGCCGAAGCGAGCACCACAAAGATGGACAACAAAGAGTTAAGCCGGCAGAGTGAGGTGAGAGCATCCTTTCAGGAAACCAAGCAGTATCTTTTTATAAAGCCTTAAAACTGTTCTGACTCAGAACAGCTCTATAAATACCACCTCAAGAAACAATCACAGATACACAGGAAAGTAACTGTACAAGGACATACTTACAATCACCTGAAATTGCTATTAAACATGGAGGGGAGCATCTGACTCAGTAGGTAAATTCATGTGTTTAATGGAGAGTACTTTATGACACTGGAAATAGCAGGATACAATGTTGGATGAAACTGCTGGATATAAAACTGTGTATGGGGGCACCTGGGTGGCTCAGTCAGTTAACCTTCCAACTTCAGCTCAGGTCATGATCTCATGGTTCGTGGGTTCGAGCCCAACATCGGGTTCTGTGCTGACAGCTCAAAGCCTGGAGCCTGCTTTGGATTCTGTGTCTCCCTCTCTCTCTGCTCCTCCTCTGCTTTCACTCTATCTCTCTCTCTCTCTCTCAAAAATAAATAAACATTAAAAAAAATTAAAATTGTGAGGGCGCCTGGGTGGCTCAGTCAGTTAAGTGTCTGACTTCAGCCTGGGTCATGATCTCATGGTTCG